ATCTCCCAAATTTCTTGAATATTATCTTGATTAGCTTCTATAACCATTAATTTAAGCAAAATTTGCCTTGTATCGTAGATATCTTCAATGAATTTGTCCTCTGTATTCTCGTTGTTCTCATTCTAATAATATAACATATATATTGACTAGTAATTAATAAATTAAATATATAGAATAAGAGAATTCTTAAATACAGGAAAAAAAATTATGTAATAATATATAGCTGCCACGAACATGTAAAATTATGCAAACGCAGTTTAATAAAAATGTCTAAAGATGGAAATATATATATATATAAAATATAGCAATGTTAATCAACTCTTAGTATTGATTTATCTTTTTGGATATTAAATTTGAACCAGAGTTGATTAATATTCCTATAAGAGTCATGTTGTAGTTTCATGCATCTTACGAAAAAAAAAAGAAATAAGAGAAACTACCAAAAGTATTTCATAATTATATAATCGCTTTAGGCAGTTGCTCAATAAATCTTACCTCTAAATTAATTATCTCTAGATCAGCTATTATTGTATTGAAATACAAACATTAAGCTATTTCAACACGTTCCACAGAAAGAATATGTGGCATCAAGTATTCCAGCATCTTTTGATCAATGGTAGGGAATATTTCACTTGCAACAGAGACAATTCCAATACAAGAAGATAAAGTCTGGTATTCAAAAAAGCATTTCCATTTAGCTTCCTTCTCCAGTCTAGAGTCTAGAGCCTTAACTAAATCACATAAGCTGCTATTACTATGTAATGATCGCTTAATTATACTGTTATAACATTCAACATGCAATGTGATTTGGACCCCAGCAATGAAAATTTTAGATATAAAAACGCATACCCATGCATGATGACTTGGATAAAGAACTTTATTTAAATAACTTGCAGAGGATGGAAATTTTTGTAATAACCTTTGCCATCTTGTTTCAAATAAAGTATCATTCAGAGTATTGTGACAATGAAAGAACTCTCCAATAAATTGATCGTATGTATTTCCTAGCACAGCTTTAAGATTCTTCAGAGGTTTTGATTAATATGATAAATACAGTATAATGATCTAGTGTTTTCATAAACTTGTTTAATTGCACTATCCATTGCTAGGTCAGCATCCGTCATAAAGACCAATGGCTCAGCACCTGTTGCTCTTTTAGTACACTGGAGAACCCATTGATAAGACTCAACCATCTTATCTGATAGTAATGCTTGCGCTACTAAACATGATCTAGTATTATTATCAACAATCAGAAATAAACTGAGAGGCATCTGATATCTATTTGTTTTAGCTGTATTGTCATTGAGAATAATATCATAATATTCGAGCTATAGAGATACTTGTTTGGGTGTCATCCAGAAGAGTCAGATAAGATGATTGTCATTATCCAATTCAAACTCTACAATCCATCCTGATTCTTTAGATTTCTTTTTAGTTAAAAATAAAAGAAGTTGTGATGCATCTGATTCAAGATCTTAAGACTTGACTTTAAAATATTGGATAGCATTTGCGATATCTGTATCTAAAAAGACTGTATCCAGATACTTGGCCTTTAACAATTGGCGCTGTACAGTTATAGAAAGATTCCCATTTTTGGTATAAAATTCTATATCATTTAATGCATCCTTTCCAATTGATCAGAATTTAGTACCATATTTGGAGGTCTTAGGATGGAGTTCATGATTATGAGTATTTATGAATGTTGTAACTGTTATACAAGTAGTATTCTTAGGAAAATTTAAATTCACATGCCATTTACATCCTTGATGCTTCAATTTTCGGTCATGGTAGGTATTAATATCAATGTTCTTTTTTGAACTATACTTTCCTCCAAATTCACACCCCAAAGACCTATATCTTATGATATTATTATCACGTTTAACCTTTTTTTTATAATAGCAAATTCAAATTGCTGCCCGTAGGCTTCAAAATAGGAATCAACATCAACCCAATTTTGGAATATGTAACCAACACTTAATATGGAAAAATCATACGTTCTGTTTAAAAAAAATCTAAGGTTTATATCAAATTCATCTTAGTATAATTAGCTTATTGTGTAAAATACTAACACAGAATTTTAAGTAAAGGTACATACTATTTATATTTTCAACTTCAATATTATCGTCTGTATAAACTTCACTATTATCTTCCATACGAACTTCGTTATTGGCCATAGTATGTTTGTTGAGGTTTAGTTATGAGAAGGTTGAACAAAGCAGATAATGTGCTATAAAAAAAATTTGTCAATACTACTCAATACTAATATCGTTTTCAAGTATAGGGTACACTATAGCAGAAGAGGTAAGTTAATTAGATTGAATTCTTTATTATATATTGGACTTGCATAACAAATGTCATCATAATGATTGATTTTATTTACACAACAATACACATTTAAAACTCTGATAACCGTACTTATTTAATAATAGTAATCACATCAGAATTTTAAATAAATATACATACGTACATACATATTGATCAGGGTGCCCCTCCGATTCAAATTTATATAACCTGTGACAAAAAAATGTGTCACAGGAGGTGACAAGAACATTTACCCTTTTTTTAAATATTATTTTTAAAACTATTAAATTATTTATTTAGTTGTAATTATAAAATAATATCCTCAAGTGGTTTTTTTCACTTATTAATCCTTGTTTTAAAGCAAGAAATTTGCATATAAGCATTATACAATAGCTTAATATCAAAGCAAATATTTGAGGTTTAAAAAGTTTAAAATATTTCTAATTAATTTTCTAATAATAATAATAATTTAATTAATTGTATAAATTAAACTTTTAATAAAAAAATATTAACTAGATATTATACTTGTAAATATATATTAATAATTGCTATAGAAGATTTTGTACTATATACACTATATTCTGTATAGTTTTCTTTTCAAATAATTGTATATTATACTTCTAAGTCTGAAATATATTTAGTTTCATATCTAATATTTCACTTAGCAAGTTTTATTTCAACTATATAATTGTTAGATATTAGATATTGAAGTGTATTATTCTAGCTATTTTTTTGAGTTAATTTTGGTATTGCAGAATATGTTTTTAAAGAAATAACATTATAATATGAATAGTATAATCGTATATTTGATTCATAATATGCTTTAATCTTTGAACTATTTGGATAGTTATATATAAAGATATAGCTAGAAAAAAAATCTGCTAATAAGTTTTTCTTAAAATTAATTTTATATTAAAATATAATTGTATATAAGTACTAGCAAGGGAAAAACTGCAAATTTTATTTAATGATTTGTAGTTTTTTTTTGACAAAACATATATTTTTTTCTTTTATTAAATACTGTAAATATCTTCTATATTTTGATTTATTATTATTATAGTTTTTTTCTATTAGCTACTTTTTGGATACTAAATTATTAAATATCATTTTTAAAGCTATTAGCTTAGAATTTTGAGCAGCCTTAAGTGCTCACTTATTAGTTAATATAGCACTATAACAATAGCTTCAATTATAATAAATACTGACTAGTGTTTAGATAGAGTATTAGCTTGGTTATTTTTATAGTTTAAAATTTTTTTGTTTAAAACCCTAGAAACTTTTTTTTAATTCTAATAAAACAGAACAATAGATTTTTTTTAGAAGTGTAAATTACTGATTTTACCAAAAACAAATTCCCAACAAATTTCAAAAACACGATTTTAGTATATTAAACTTTCAATAATTGGTACAAATGCTTTAGCTTTACATTATTGTTATATATTATCACATGTTTTAATATTGTTTGTATTACATATTACAATAAAAAATTATAGTTATTACCAAAACTTAATTAGTAATTTGAGACAAATCAACTTATATGACAAAACAAACAGATATAGACAACATGATCTGTACAAACAAGTAAACAAATATAAGTAGACAAACAACAAAATACCAAAACAACAATTAAACAAACATATAGCAAAAGAAGTAAATAAACATATAAGATATTAGATCTTCTAGATTATAGAAACTTCTTCAACTTCACGGCAATTGCTAATCCCGAAAGGGTGTTAGGGTAGGGCGGGTTACAAAAGAGGAAAGCCAGAGGGTTTATATG